ACTACTTTAATATGCAGCATTTATAATTTTGTAATATTGAATTTTGCTGAGGTCAAATATCTTCTCAATTTCAATGCATGCATTGTTGCTTTTATTCTCACAGATGTCGTTTATCAAATTCTTTCCTCCCCCACCTTCTCATACAGTTTGGTTAAGGTATCTAACTCTGGAGCTGGAGGTTGGGAGTTCACTTCCCTTCTAGCCCTGCAGTTCTAAGTTTCTATTACGTCAGTACCTATTTCTCTGACCATCTCTCCTACCTAGACTGTTTTCAGAAATTCCTGATGATTCTCTACCAGTAACAGCATTTTATCAACTCTACATCCCATCCCCTTCATGGATTTGTCCTTTCTCATCACCCTCCAAATAAACTCTGCAGATTTTATCAATTCCTGGGATTGACTACGAACTGCTCTTTACTGGTTCTCGAGTCCAATAATTTAGCTGCATCACATTCATCCACTTTTACCCTTCCTTTCCCCCCCTCTTGTTATTCATTTTCCTAAACAATCCTTTAATTCAAATATTTGTTCTCTTTAATCAAATTTGAGAAATTTATTTCTAATTTTCTGGAAGCTGATGTACAATCATTGGGGAGAATTTGTGAAGGAAAAGAAGTTAATATACTTTGATTTTGATGTACATATTTGGGTGTGGAAATGATCCTCCCTCCAAAAGGTCCCTCAGTGAAGAGCCCTTCCAACCTCAAGGCCACAGGAAACAACCTCCGGTCCGGCCTCATCCCTTCCCTGGTTCTCCTCCCTCGCCTTTTTTGGCTGTCTTTCCTTGGTTCTCTGTGTCTCAGGAGGAGCCCGAACACATCATTCCTTATTCCTGCAGATTTTGGAAGTGGCTGTTTGTCTTCTTTTTCTGATCTACCAGATGATGAACAGGAGAAGAAGAATTGCCCAGCAACATCTCGGGCCACATGGGCAGGAACTCATCATCAAGGAAGAAAAGAGAATTGAAAATCAGAATGAGGAGACATGGACTTCAGATGAAAGGACTGACACAGAGGAGAAACCACATCTATGCATGTCACCTCAGTAGATATCAAAGAACAGATGCAGGAGAGAAACTCTATCCATGTATGGAACATGGAAGGAGCTTCAGTCAGAAGAAGAGCATCCATATACACCATAGAACTCACACTGGAGAGAAACCACATGAATGCATGGAATGTGGAAAGAGCTTTAGTATCAGTGGTGTCCTTCGGATACATCAAAGGACCCACACTGGGGAGAAACCGCATAAATGCAAGGAATGTGGAAAGAGCTTTAGTCAGGGTGGACACCTTAGGTTACATCAAAGGACCCACACTGGGGAGAAACCGCATAAATGCAAGGAATGTGGAAAGAGCTTTAGTCAGGGTGGACACCTTAGGTTACATCAAAGGACTCACACTGGGGAGAAACCACATAAATGCATGGAATGTGGAAAGAACTTTAGTCACAGTGGTAACCTTAGGTCACATCAAAGGACGCACACTGGGGAGAAACCACATAAATGTATGGAATGCGGAAAGTGTTTTAGTCACAGTGGTGGCCTTAGCTTACATCAAAGAACCCACACCGGGGAGAAACCACATAAATGCACAGAATGTGGAAAAAGTTTTCATATGAGTGATGCCCTTAGCCTTCATCAAGGTGCCCATACTGGGGAGAAACCACATAAATGCACAGAATGTGGAAAAAGTTTTCATATGAGTGATGCCCTTAGCCTTCATCAAGGTGCCCATACTGGGGAGAAACCACATAAATGCATAGAATGTGGAAAGAGCTTTAGTCAGAGTGGTACCCTTAGGTTACATCAAAGGACTCACACTGGGGAGAAACCACATGAATGCATGGAATGTGGAAAGAGCTTTAGTAGGAGTGGTGCCCTTAGGATTCATCAGAATACTCACACTGGGGAGAAACCACATAAATGCACAGAATGTGGAAAAAGTTTTCATATGAGTGATGCCCTTAGCCTTCATCAAGGTGCCCATACTGGGGAGAAACCACATAAATGCATGGAATGTGGAAAAAGTTTTATTAGGAGTGATGCCCTTAGGCTACATCAAAGGATTCACACTGGGGAGAAACCACATAAATGTATAGAATGTGGAAAGAGTTTTAGTACGAGTGATGCCTGTAGGTCTCATCAAAGGACCCACACTGGGGAGAAACCTTATAAATGCATGGAATGTGGAAAGAGTTATATTCGTAGTTGTCACCTTAGGATACATCAAAGGACCCACACTGGGGAGAAACCATATAAATGCATGGAATGTGGAAAGAGCTTTAGTAGGTGTGTTGACCTTAGGTTACATCAAAGAACTCACACTGGTGAGAAACCACATAAATGCATGCAATGTGGAAAGAGCTTTAATCAAAGTGGTAACCTTAGGTCACATCAAAGGACCCACACTGGAGAGAAACCATATAAATGCATGGAATGTGGGAAGAGCTTTGGTTGCAGTGGTAACCTTAGGTCACATCAAAGGACCCACACTGGAGAGAAACCATATAAATGCATGGAATGTGGGAAGAGCTTTGGTTGCAGTGGTAACCTTAGGTCACATCAAAGGACCCACACTGGAGAGAAACCATATAAATGCATGGAATGTGGGAAGAGCTTTGGTTGCAGTGGTAACCTTAGGTCACATCAAAGGACCCACACTGGAGAGAAACCATATAAATGCATGGAATGTGGGAAGAGCTTTGGTTGCAGTGGTAACCTTAGGTCACATCAAAGGACCCACACTGGAGAGAAACCATATAAATGCATGGAATGTGGGAAGAGCTTTGGTTGCAGTGGTAACCTTAGGTCACATCAAAGGACCCACACTGGAGAGAAACCATATAAATGCATGGAATGTGGGAAGAGCTTTGGTTGCAGTGGTAACCTTAGGTCACATCAAAGAACTCACACTGGGGAGAAACCACATAAATGCATGGAATGTGGAAAGAGTTTTCTTCATGGTGGTCAACTTAGGTCACATCAAAGGATTCACACTGGGGAGAAGCCACATAAATGCATGGAATGTGGAAAGAGTTTTAATCAGTGTGGTAACCTTAGGTCGCATCAAAAAACTCACACTGGGGAGAAGCCACATAAATGCAAGGAATGTGGAAAGAGCTTTATTCAGAGTTCTGCCCTTAGATTACATCAAAGGACTCACACTGGGGAGAAACCACATCAATGTATGGAATGTGGAAAGAGCTTTAGTAGGAGTGGTAACCTTAGGTCACATCAAAGAACTCACACTGGGGAGAAACCAGATAAATGCATGGAATATGGAAAGCTTTAGTACAAGTGATGCCTGTAGGTCACATGAAAGGTCTCACACTGGAGAGAAACCACATAAATGCATAGAATGTGGAAAGATCTTTAGTAGGAGTGGTGCCCTTAGACTAATAGAACTCACATTGGGGAGAAACCACATAAATGCATGGAATGTGGAAAGACCTGTAGTCGGAGTTGTCATTTTAGGATACATCAAAGGACCCACACTGGGGAGAAACCACATAAATGCATGGAATGAGGAAAGAACTTTAGTCAGAGTTTTGCCCTTCGGTTACATGTGGACAGAGTTTTATTTGGAGTTCCTGATAAGTTAAGGCATAAGGAGCTCATTCAGTTTTGTGCTGCTTTCCATGGGAAAGAAGAAACAACAAAATGCTGACGTCATGCAAAACAGAAAAGAAAAAATGGAGTGCATTTTGAAGTACTACTTGTAATGTCTTTTATTTCTTAATTAACAGAGAGGTATCACAAAATAGACGTGAAACCTTGTGCTAAAAATTAGAATAAGCATGTATTGTGCCATACAAGCTTTTACAAAATTAGTGTATAAATAGAAAAGGATGGATGTTCTAAGTCTAACTGATGGAATAAAAGCAAGTAGTGAAGAGAGTGAAGCTGTCGTTTGTTTTATAAGGCTTTATCCTCAAAAATAATAATAGTAGTTGAGATTTAAAGAGGGTACCAATGGATTTTTATTCTCTATTTTTTTATGAACCAACATATATATATTCTATAATATTTATGAATAACTTGGCATTTCTGTGCTATTGTATTGAGAGTATACTGCTTTGTAATGGCAGAGATTGTTGGAAGGAGTGGAAATTTTGGTTTTTCAAGATCTAGTCTGCTCGGGCCCTGGACTGCACTACATCGGAGGTGACCAAATCCTTTGATCCTTAACACCTGAGCTTATCAGAGGTTAGAAAACTCAAGCCTTGGGAAATTTGGTTTTGCTGACTGATGCAGAACTGAGGTACATAAATATTGGGAGAGATCTCTGACAGGTCTGAGCTAAACCTGAAGGAATTGTTAAATACAGTTTCGTACTATGTAATAAGTATTTATCAGAATCAGTGTTATAGAAAGAAGTAAGGCTAGAATTTATCCAGCTGAGTAAAACTGTAACAGCTGAGAGAGCAATCCCTGGATTGGCTAATCCTGGGATAAAGCTAGCAGACCTAGCACACACACTCTGTGGGTTGCTGGTGGTGTGGATTGCTATTGTCGTGGTGCTGTGCTGGAGTATTCTGGAAGAAGCCGTGTCTTTGTGCTATATATTGGAAGAAGAACTCTGGCTACTGGACTGATCATATGGTATATGACTGCTGAACTAATTTACAAGGACTTTGACTCTGATTTATGCATTGAACTCTGTTGAAACTGCTGTGTATGACTTCGGGACTGGAAACAAGGACTAACCTGTATATGTATGTATATATTCTGTAATAATACAACTATTCTGCTACCAACACTGCTTTATTGCTTGGTGTCTTCATCTCTCAGGGAAGTTCTACTAATTAGTGCAACCTGTGCATCCTGGTCTTTTGTTTCTGTTCATGGGGTTTTCTTGGCAAAGATACTAAAGTGGCATTGCCAGTTTCTACTCCAGGTGGATTATGTTTAGTCAGAACTCTCCACTATGGCCTGTCCATCTTGGGTGGCCCTGCACGGCATAGCCCATAGCTTCTCTGAGTTACTCAAGCCCCTTCGCAATGACGAGGCAGCAATCCGTGAAGGGGATTGGGAGGAAAGTGATGACAAATCTTGACAGCATCTTAAAAAGCAGAGACATCACCTGCCAACAAAAGTCCGAATAGTCAAAGCTATGGTTTTCCCTGTCATGATGTATGGAAGTGAGAGTTGGACCATAAAGAAAGCTGACCGCTGAAGAATTGATGCTTTTGAATTGTAGTGCTGGAGGAGGCTCTTGAGAATCCCCTGGACTGCACGGAGAACAAACTTATCAATTCTAAAGGAAATCAACCCTGAGTGGTCACTGGAAGGACAGATCCTGAAGCTGAGGCTCCAGTACTTTGGCCATCTCATGAGAAGAAAATGCTCCTTGGAAAAAACCTTGATGTTAGGAAAGTGTGACGGCAAGAGGAGAAGGGGATGACCGAGGATGAGATGGCTGAACAGAGTCTGTGAAGCAACCAACATGAATTTGACACAACTCCAGGAGGCAGTGGAAGATAGGAGGGCCTGGTGTGCTCTAGTCCATGGGGTCATGAAGAGTCGGACACGACTAAACAAACAAAACGTGCATCCTGGTAATACCGCAACTCTGTCAATCTCACACAAAGTGTTATGAGAATGGAACGGAGAACCATAGAGTTTTGGCTTCATGGAGTGCAACAGATAACGGAACTGATGCCGGGTGAAAGTCCTTGGAAGAGCAGGAAGATAACCATGAGGGAGTGACAGCCAGCAATGGATTTTACACACGGCTGGGTGAGAACAAAATTATCTCTTTGTTAACAACACACTTAGAGCCAAATAGTGCTGTTTTACTGTGTATGTATTCATTTTTAAAGTTTAAATACTTTTGCATGTCTTTCATTAAAAATGATAAGGTACCAGACAGGGGTGTCCACTCTCACCACTATTATTCATTCTGACTCTAGAAATATTAACCAAACAAATCAGAGATTGAAAGGATTGAAAGTAAAAGGTCAAATTTATAAACTTCAAGCTTTTGCAGACAATTTAATCATCATACCGGAAGATCCATTGCATTCAATAGAAGACCTGATGATGATGTTGAAAAACTTTGGCGATATGGCAGGAATGAGAATAAACCAAAAGAAAACAAAAATACTTACCAAAAATATAAGAGAACAAGATCAACAGAAGTTAGTAGAGAAGATGAACTTCCAGGAGGAAAAGAGAATCAGATATTTAGGGATCCAAATTACAAAGAAGACAAGTACATTATTTAAAGATAATTATATAAAATTGATTATGGAGATACAGAACAATTTGGAGAAATGGGATAAACTACAATTATCGTTGTTGGGAAAATTGTGACGATTAAAATGAGTGTTTTACCAAAAATTCTATTCCTATGGAGCAGGAGGAACAATGCGGGATTTGCAAGAAGCAAAGATGCACAAAGGAGCTGGAACTGAAGCTGGAAGAGCAGCAGCAGCAGTGCCAGCTTAGTGAAGAAACAGAGAGAAAACTCCACCACACTGCTAGCTGAGTTTGGTGGCACCCAGCTGCACCGTGGAGCATCTCAGAAGCCACAGTGCGCTATGGTGCAAACTTTGGGAACTTTTGATATAGCTGCTTGGTATCTATTCACAGTATCTAACCTATAACCAAAAAGTGATTCGCTTCCCTTTGAGATCAATGAAGTGGCATATATACATTACTACAATTAACTTTGGTCATGATTCCATGCCATTTTTACTTGATTTTTTTACTTTAGAGCCTCGTGGTGCAGTGGTTAAACTGCTGTACTGCAGACAAAACTGTGTTCATGACCTGGGGTTCAATCCCAAGTAGCCAGCTCAAGGTTGACTCAGCCTTCTATCCTTCCAAGGTTGTTAAATGAGTACCCAGCTTGGGGGGGGGGGGAGCAATGTGTAGCATGCATAATTAAATTGTAAACCGCCCAGAGAGTGCTTGAAGCGCTATGGGGCGGTATATAAGCAGCACACTTTGGTTTTTTTTGCTTTTTTATTTTAAAAAAGATTGTGAATTAAGGTCTAAAGAAGAGCTAGAGACACAGAATATTTACAGAGTCTGGTGGTCCAGAGCACAGCTGGAATCTAGATATACAAAAGACAAAATAGGTTTTTATTCAGAGCAAATGACATTTTATAAGCTTTTATTAGATGGTTGGACAGTGTCATCGAAGCAAGCAACATGAATTTGACACAGCTCCAGGAGGCAGTGGAGGATAGGAGGGCCTGGCGTGCTCTGGTCCATGGGGTCACGAGAAGTCGGACACGACTGAACAACTGAACACACACACAGAAAAAGAGTGTTGATGATGACCAGCTTGTTCTCTTGACAAAACTCTATTAGCCTTTGCCCTGCTTCGTTTTGAACTCCAAGGCCAAACTTAACTGTTGTTCCTTTTACCTCTTGACTCCCGACTTTAGCATTGCAGTTCCCTATAATGAGAAGGACATCTTTCTTTGGTGTCAGTTCTAGAAGGTGTATACAGATGTATCAAATGTGTGTTGGAAATGTGAAGCACATGTGGGAAGCTGTTATCATATGTGGTGGTCATGTAGAGTAGAGAAAGAATATTGGAAAAGAGTACATGCTGTGCTGCAACAAATATTGCTTTGTAAGGTCCCATTAACACCAGAACTGTTTTTATTGAGTATGATACCTGACAATATAGATAAGGCAAAGAAGTATATAGTTATATACATACTCACTGCAGCTAGAATTCTTTATGCTAAAAATTAGAAAAGTCCGACCGTACCGAAACAAGAAGACCTTATAGAGAAGATACGGGAAACAGCGGAAATGGACATTTTATCAGAAGTGATGAAGGACTGTCCTCTACAAAAGGCAACTGAAAGATGGGACTTATTCCACAAATGGTTTGAGTCATTAGACATCGCTTGAAGAACATGCATTAAAATGAGAACTTAAATCTGGAAGGCAGAAAATAGTAAAAAGAGCAATTTGGAATTTTGAGATGGCAATATGTATAGAATGGATATTAGTATGTTACTCTTTCTCCTCTTCCCTTTCACCACAATCCCTTTTTCCTTCCTGTTACCTTTTGTTAAAAAATAATTTTTTTTTAAAAAAAGAAAAATCCAGGAGGATAGATATAGTTCCGGGTGAAGAGTCAAAGGTTGAGACCAATGAAGGGATGGGAGAGTCAGGAAATAAAGAGCCTGGGGTGGCCAAGGTGGAAGTTTCAGTGAGGGAAGCAGAAGGTCCATCAGAGGAAACGAAGGATCCACCGGGTAAAGGAACCTCAGGAGTAGCGAAGGTGCAGGAGAAAAAAGAAAGGAATAAGACAGGAGGCGGGAAGAGATATATATCTTGGGGAACAATCAGGAATGGAGAACTTGATGATACCTCATGAGAGGTAGAAAGGAGTTGGAAAGAAATAAGACCATAGAAACACTCCTATTGGGGAGAGAAAGAGGTGAGAAAATGGAGGAGAAAGATCAGGGAAGAGAGAGGAATGTTTTTTTTTTCTTCTTCTCCCCACTCTGTCACACAGTTTTTAAAGAAATGTCCAGCACTATTGCAATTATAGCATTTCACAGTCAACACTTTCTGCTGGTTTGCTGTGACATTATTGTTCACGGGTCATCTTGGTTTACGATGATTAATGATCTTCTCTGCCACTTTATAATGTCTCCTTTGCTCTTCCTCCAAAAGTCTTCCAGAAATAAATTGCACATGCAAATTCTCCTCTGCCATGTTTTCTAAGCTGAGAATCAGGTTATCCCAGCTTTCATCAAGACTGCTCAAGATCACGAAGCACTGGCGCGACTGTGTACATTCCAGTCCTCATTCCTGTAGCTGGAGAAATGAATCTAACATTTCTTTAATATGTTTCACTACACTTTCTCCAGGTAATAAACGCTTGCGATATAGCTTATGCACCACAGCCATGTTACACCCAGCTCTGTCTCGAACATAAACAATTTTGAATACCTGCCAATACTCTTAGCTTGTCTTAAGATTCCTCACATAAATCAACTGTGTATCTTCCAATCGTAGTATTACCGTGGCTCTTGCCTTATCATGTGCACGTTCCTCCTCTTCCACAACATCAGGAGGATTTTGAACATACTGCCTCAGAGACTCTCTCGTCAATAACGTCTTCATTTTTAGAGACCAAGGCATATAATTAGTGTCATTTAAATGCAACATAGGTAAAGCACCTGCTTGCTGCCTTCTGGAACTGGCTGTTGTAAGCAGCCCCGTATCTCCAAAGAGATTTACGGGGGTGCCGGAGACTGGGATGAGTCCGATATCCAGCCAAACCTCTGACTGCTGAGCAGAGCCCTTAGGTCTCAGCAAGATCTTGTCTAACACTTCTTCCTCAAAAGCCAATCTCCTTTATTAAGAAAGCAACACACACAGACAAATCCATGAGTTATACTCAGAATAATCTGGCTCTAAATCTTTGGTAGCAAACACATATGGCCAATTAGACATTCAGCTAGTCTGTACAAGAACCAATGCATGCAGATCAAATCATTACTGCTTTATTGAAAAGAATTGCTTTAGAAAAGGTTTCAGTTGATGGTAAAATAGTTCAGTAGGTACATTTTGTCGCAAACATGGGTTCGAAAACACACGTGT